ACATTCAGTGGGTCATATGAATAAAAACTAGAATTTGCTTTTGCTGCCAATTTTAAAGTGTTCGCTTGCACCTGTATGAATAAAAATAAAGCGAACGCTTTTACTGGAGAGCATGAATTAAATGGAATGAATGCTTCCGATGTGAAGCATTAACTGGTTAAAATATTATTTTTGGAGGTTGGGCAGGAGCCACCTTGAAAATACGAAGCAAAAACACTTCTGCGTTAAAACTTGCTGCATATATGATATGTTATCAGCGTAACATCATAATAAAATATGTTAAGTAAAATATTATTGATACCATATACCTTATTTCAATCACATTCAGCAAAAGTAATACACTTTTTTAAAATAATTAATTACATCACTAGTAAAAAAATAGTTCGTGATTTAAAGATCTGAGAAGTGTAATTTTGATGCAGAAGAATAAGAAGAAGTTTTTATCCAACAGCAATCAGGGAACTGAACAAACTGAAGTAAGCGTCCGGTTTATTTCTGGATGAAAAAATATTTTCGGCAACCGTGACTTAGTCTACAGGACACTTGTGGCTTACATTTTTCGCGAAATTACTTTCGGCATTCTGCAAATGTCGAAAATATTCTGTATCATTCGAGTTTTATTTAAAACTCAAAGTAATCACAGCATTGTATGCATCACCTGTACCATGATGTTTTGGATTCGGTTACCCTACATGTAAACCCCGTGTGTGTGCGAATTCGTGCACATACAAAAGAGCCTATTGTTGGCAACCACTCGTCCGTGCAATCGATCCAACAGTAAGGACGCATATCTGCTGCCTACAGTATAGTGAATGCCTAGCAGTAAAAAAAAATATCTGTTTGAAGAAGCCTCTGTACTAATGAAGTCACACTTTGTTTACATGTGCACTTTACTATGGTGCTCAGTGGACCGTGGGCCCCCACTGGCTCCATAGGAAAGTGTGCATGTAAACAAAGTGTGACGTCATTAGTACAGAGGCTTATTGATGCATTGTATTTGCTTTTCATAAATGAGCTTACTCCTCAGAATAAAAAAAATTCTGTGCTTGTACTTCCAAGCATTTCCTAACTTTGATTCATTCGACCCAAAATATTGTTACTTTTCCAGCGGATTTCTCAGACTGTTAGTTGTTTTCTAAACGTTCAGTCTTAATTTGCATTTTATTTACAACACGTGTTATTTCGATTTTTCTCACATATAAACATTGAAAAAAAAAAGGAATCACAAATAAATAACAATTCAAATGTATTTATTATAATTGACATTGGTTGAAAAGAACACTAATCAAACATCAATTTCGTTTGCCTTGGGTTTAGGAATTGGTCTTGGGGTCCCCAGAAGCTATTTGTGGACCTCATTATGCTGTAGCATAATGGTTAAGACAATGAAAATGGTTTCAGAGGAAAATCTCTAGAATTACTGAACGTATTAACTTCAGACGGTGCGGGAGTCCGTCTCGGGGTACCCCAAAGTCTATTTGTTTTAGGCACGATAGGTTAAAGGTCAAGGTCGTCATGGTTCAAACATTAGAAATACATTAAGCCGAATGTCCAACAAAATATTTCGTATATAAACCGTTAAGTTGATATTAAACATTACATATCAACTTCAAAGATGGTATATGTGGGGTGGTCTTTGGCATTGTTGTTTTCGTGTCCCTGTAAGTATCCATAAGACCATCACAAGTCTATCCCAAGTCCATCACAAGTCCGTCCCAAGTCCATCACAAGTCTACCACAAGTCCTTCACAAGTCCATCACAAGTCCATCACAAGTCCATCCCAATTCCATCCCGAGTCCATCCCAAGTCCATCCCAATTCCATCCCGAGTCCATCCCAAGTCCATCACAAGTCCTTTACAAGTCCATCACAAGTCCATCACAAGTCCATCACAAGTCCATCCCAAGTCCATCACAAGTCCATCCCAAGTCCAACCCAAGTCCATCCCAAGTCCATCCCAAGTCCATCCTTGGTTCATCACAAGTCCATCCCAAGTCCATTACAAGTCTATTTCAAGTCCATCCCAAGTCTATCCCAAGTCCATCACTGGTCCGTCCCAAGTCCATCACAAGTTTATCACAAGTCTATCACAAGCCCATCACAAGTCCATCACAAGTCCATCCCAAGTCCATCCCAAGTCCATCCTAAGTCCATCACAAGTCCTTTACAAGTCCATCACAAGTCCATCACAAGTCCATCACAAGTCCATCACAAGTCCATCCCAAGTCCATCACAAGTCCATCCTAAGTCCATCACAAGTCCTTTACAAGTCCATCACAAGTCCATCACAAGTCCATCACAAGTCCATCACAAGTCCATCCCAAGTCCATCACAAGTCCACCACAAGTTCATCACAAGTCCATCACAAGTCTATCATAAGTCCTTCACAAGTCCATCACAAGTCCATCACAAGTCTATCACAAGTCCTTCACAAGTCCATCACAAATCCATCACAAGTCCATCCCAATTCCATCCCGAGTCCATCCCAAGTCCATCACAAGTCCTTTACAAGTCCATCACAAGTCCATCACAAGTCCATCACAAGTCCATCACAAGTCCTTTACAAGTCCATCACAAGTCCATCACAAGTCCATCACAAGTCCATCACAAGTCCATCCCAAGTCCATCCCAAGTCCATCCCAAGTCCAACCCAAGTCCATCCCAAGTCCATCCCAAGTCCCTCACAAGTCCATCCTTGGTTCATCATAAGTCCAACACAAGTCCACCACAAGTCCATCACAAGTCCATCACAAGTCCATCACAAGTCCATCACAAGTCCATCACAAGTCCATCACAAGTCCATCACAAGTCCATCACAAGTCCATCCCAAGTCCATCCCAAGTCCATCACAAGCCCATCACAAGTCAGTTACAAGTCCATCATAAGCTGTGCATTCTTAAGTCAACTCACCTGCTATTCAAAGTCACCATCCTCGATGTACATCGTAGTATCCTCGCTTATATGTACAGCTCCTCAGAAACGGTGGATAGTATTGCACTGGTTTTAACTTGATTTGTTTTTTTCTATTCTTTCAGTAAGGATGCTTTAACTCGTGCTGATCTCTAACAAGATGCCGCGAAAGACCGTTCAGCAGTTGAATGCATACATTAAGGCAACAGCCGTCGTGTACGACCACTCCAACGCCAAACTCATCAGCAGGAGGACTAAAGTCAAACCAAGGAGGAAACAAGCTTTCCTGTCTGTACTGCATTACAGGAAAACGTCATCGGATGATTGCTGTGCAAAGAGGAGACCATCGAAACGATGGACTCGAAGACAATCAAAGCAGACACATGAAAGTCAGAGGTAAACAGCAATGACATTATTCATTTAAAATGAGGGTTATAATTGTAAGTTAATATCGAAGGATTTGTTTGAATCATTGACTCTTTCCAGCTACTTGTGTAAAAGTTGAGTGAACTTGTTCAATTCTTCTAATTTTGCGAGACTCATGACAGTGGATGTAACTTTGGCTATAGCTTTAAAATAAATTATTCACTGATCCCATTCTATTTTAGAATAATGCATTTCTAAAACTACTCGGGATTTCCCCCTATTTTCACAGTAACACCAAAGACGTAAAACAGAAACTGCAGGTCTTTGTCCGGACTCCCTCCTCGCATAGATCCAAGACACTTTATTTCGAACTCCATCCTGAGACATCCGTCTCATCTCTCAAAAAAACAATCCAGAAGAAGATCGGTGTGGAGGCACGACATCAGCGTCTGTACATCAGGGAAAACGTCCAGGTCGGTATCAATTTCAAATATATCCAAATCTAATGTTCGCTTGTGGGAATATACATTTCCAACTGGGGGCATCACGAAGGGGTACATTTATGTCCGCACTTGGGTAAATCTTGGGGGGGGGGGGGGAGTTCCCCCGCCACCCCCTCCCCGCTTGTTCCGCCGTCCCTGAAAATCAGTATCCATTCCTTCCTACTAGGCTTGAAGAACGTAATTTGATGGCTGTTTAAACAATGCACAACTAAAATGTTCTCACTTTCTCTTCTGATTGTGTAATTTACTTTTTTACATGATTTACTTTATTAGCTCTGTGACTTGCTCACACTTGAGGAGAATGGCGTTGACGAGGATAAACTCATCTCTCTTAGTCTATCCTTAAATGACACACATGACGACGATGTACTAAAAGGTAAATGGTAGAGGGTACGAGTAAATGTCCTAGTAATAAAAAAAAATCTCAAGTTGAAAATATATGATGAAAATAAGTTCAAGCAGTGCTCACCAAGATTTTTTGTCGCTAAATTTTGGGCCTGACAAGGCCTTCATCGGAGCTGGGAGTTGGACTGTCGGTAAATGCAGAAAATTCAACATTCAGACCAAGAGTCTCTTCTTGTTGAACCTGTTGTTGATAACTCATAAAACCGTGGCGGTCGTATTTGAAAATGTCTCACTGACGTTACTCTTTCTTTTGACAGACGAAGCCAGCATTGCCGATGAGTACCTCAGGGACTTGTCCTCAAAAATCGAATCATCGTGGAAGGAACTTGCCAAACACCTAGGATATGAAGAAGCGGAAATTGCAGACATCCAAACCACCAACGAAGGCAGCACTGGAGGGAGCCGTCACATGCTACTCACTTGGTGGGAAAAGACGACAGATCACGAAGACGCAGCTCAGAAGCTGAGACGAGCAATGGAGGCCATCGGGCTGACTGGTTTTGCCCAAAATGTACCGGGTGAGCTAAAATGCAAAACAAGCAGATAACATTTAAGGAGTGATTAGAGATGAAACTTTACATTAGACACTATAATTTAAGGATAAAAAAAATATATGGTACCCTGCTCTCACTTCGGACTCTTTAAACAAATAAGCAACTAAAAATACCTAATTGTTAATTTTAGAAAACAAACCACCAAAACAGTAGAGATAGTTTAAAATATGATCGCTCTATTTTTCTTTTTACATCAGTAACGCGCAAATCAAGAGACGAAGCAGCTGGAGCCAAGCCAAACAGGCGTCAAGATGTAGGAGTAGACGAGGAAAGCAAACAAAACGGGGCGGCATCAACCGAGGAAAAGAAACTGAAAAAGGAACAAGTTGGCGATCAAGACAAACCTCAGCTAATCAGGTAAAAGACGATTAAACGCTGGCACACGTATTGCACCTCGTGTTTGAAGAATTACATAGGCATCAAATTTCGGTTTTTTTTTTGACAATTTAACTCCCTTGAAAAACAAAATTTCCTCAGTTTAAAAATAGCAAAGAGAGTGCTTACAGTGAAAGTTGATGGTCTTTACCTTTATTCATTTAATATGTCAATTCAAACTATTGAGAGACCCTTAGCATGCAGTACTGCTTTTTTGACAGTCGCAGATATGTGCAAGTCTTCATCCAAAGTCGTCGTTCACAAAAACCAAAGATAATGTGTTTGCAAGTGGATCCAGAGACACCTGTCTTGATCTTAAAAGTGATAATAAGTGAGAAAATTGGTGTGCAGCCTCAACAACAGCGACTGTTCATCCGAAGAAACTTTCGTAACTTTGAGGTAAAAATAGCTCTGTATTTTACAAAGTAACCGTGTTGTAAATTTCCTAATCTACATTCCATCGAAGTAAAGACTATGCATTGTGAGTTTTAGTGCCAACCTCTTCTGATTCTCATTACATTATTCGTGCATATTAAACCAGTGCTGCTTCTGATGTCGGTGCAGTTGCACTTAAGCACTCAAGTCATAGATTAACAACGATTATATATATAGCCCCACCGATTAAGTCTCACATGATTTCATTGCACACGGATGAAAGTTAATTTTACAACTTTTGTTTAGCCAGGTTCTGTAATCACATCCACCCAACTGGCATCGTTCAGAGAGTGCACTGTGTGTAACATCAGGATGTTATTTATTTTTTTTCCAGCTGCATAATTTGCTGACACTTCACGACTGTGGAATTCATCAGGACGAGAACATCTCACTCCGTCTGTGCACTGATGGCCTACTGGGTGGTGGACTAAAAGGTATATGCTTGTGAAAAAAATATACCCTTTCGAGATGGTGATAAACCTGAGGGCGTTATTCCCTCGTAATTTAGGACGGGATACCACATCAACCTCAGTATCTATATTCATGTCACAAAAATGAACGACCTAAGCAACTTTAGCGAAAGCCTTTGCACTGGTATATCAAATTGTCAGGATCCATGCTCTTGCATTCTGCTGTTTTGTGAGTCTGGTGAAAAGCATGTACTTGTAGTTTAAATTGTGTTGAGCCACCTCCGATGTTATTCTCAAAAGAGAAACACTCATTGACACTGATGCTGTCAGTTACATACTGACGAAAAGGTTTCTTTTTGTTTCGCAGACAAACAAACTGTTGATGACCAGTTCTTTCGGGACTTGGCTTCGAATACTGAATCATCTTGGGAAGAATTGGCGAAATTACTGGGATTTGAAGAAGCAGAAATCAAGCAAATCCAAACCAACTCCCAAGACAACAAAGAAAGGAGCCTACAGATGCTACTTTCTTGGTGGAGAAAGCAAACAAATCGAGAGGAAGGATTCCAACGTTTGCGAGATGCATTAAATTCAATCGGGCGTGCCGATTTGGTCTTAATGATTCCATCAGATGAGCAACAGAGGATGAAACAACTTGGTCATCGAGACCAGCCTCATCTAGAGGTACAATTGGAAGGGGCTAAAGAACAGAGCAAGCAAAAGGTGGCTACGTCATCTGAAGACCAGGGACCTAGACATATGGTCGGTCACAGAGACAAACCTAAGCAAGAGGTTCAAGTGGGAGGGGCCAAAGAACAAAGCAAGCAGAAAGGGTTTATATCATCGGAGGACCAGAGACCAGGACAGGAGAAAGTTGTTCATCGCGACGAACCTCAATCAGAGATACAAGTGGAAGAGGAGAGCAAGCAGAAAGGGAGTACAGCATCTGAGGAGCAGAGACCGAGACACAAGGTACACGGCCGACTTCACAGACATGAAACAGGAGCTGTTGAAGAGCAGGGCATACAGAAGCATATCAGACCATCAGATGAGGAACCGAGACCGAGTGAGGAGGAAGTTGGTCATCGAGAAAAACTTCAATCAGAGGTAAAAGTTAAAGAGGAGAGCAGGCAGACAACGAGTACAACATCTGAGGTACAGAGACCGGAACATGAGGAACAAGATCCTCTTCAGAGACATGATGAGGAACAGAGAGCGAGTCAGGAGGAAGTTGGTCATCCAGACAAACCTCAATCAGAGGTACAAGAGAAAGAGGAGAGCAGGCAGAAAGGGAGTACAACATGTAATCGACAGAGACCGGGACACGAGGAACAAGACCATCTTCAAAGACATGATGAGGAACAGAGACCGAGTCAGGAGGAGGTTGGTCATCGAGACACAGTTGAGGTACAGAATCAGGTTGCAGGTGCCGGAGAACAAAATTCCCCAAATGTTTCATCCCAATCACCCTCATTTAAAAATCGTTTTAAAAGGTCTGTTCTCTCATTATTGCCGAAAAGGAAGAAGGCAAGAGAGCAAAAATTAGGACAAGAGCAGATGGGGGATAAACACAGTAGGCAGGCAGACATCCAAAGGGCTGGGTTTCACAAAGAGCGGAAAACGCAGGAAGGGACTTCATCATCTGATGGACTTTGTCCGAAACAGGAGTATGTTGTTCATCGAGATAAACTTCAACAAGACGTTTTTGTGGAAGGGGTTAAAGAACAGAGCAAGCAGAAGGGGACTACATCAATTGGGGACCAGAGACTGAGTCGGGAGGAATTCGGTCATGAAGCCAAACCTGAACCAAAGGAAGAAGTGAGAGAGGCTAAAGAACAACGCCAGCTCAAAGGAACTACACCATCTGAGGGACAGATACAAAACCAGCGAGAGGCAGGCGGTACAGAGCCGAGTATTCAGAAAGAGAGGGTGCAATCATCCGAGGATTATGGACTGAAAAGGTTAACACACCAAAATCCAAGTCATGGGCAAGTGGATGTTGCACCAAGAAAGCCTTCAGAGATACAAGAGACATTGGTCAGAGAAACGACATCACAAGTCGGACAGTTAATGCAGAGTCCAAGTTCAGTTCAAGACATCGCACCTGTAGGACTCCAACTAGGAGCCTCATCCCCATCAGCTGCTGTACTCAGATGTGGACCTGTGCAAGTGCAACACGTTTCAGTGGATTCCATGCATATTGGCGGTGCAAATAAACCGACCTTCCTGGGACCTGTTAATGATCCTACTTTCACCATCATTCAGAACGTGGCTATGCCTGAAAGCAGTCCAGGTAAATAGAGTCCAATATGTCGTATCTTCTCTCGCTTGCTATTTTCACTGTTTTCCTCTATCATAAAGTCGAAAATTGTTTTCAAGATATACTGTCCGTGCCCAACAAATGTTCGCTGTTTCTCCACTAAAATGCTATAGATATTTTTTCAAATGCTATAATTAAAAGACAAAAAAATGTGCGTAGCAAGGTCATTTTGATTGGGGGGGGGGGTGGCATTGTAGACGTACACAAAGGGCACATTGTTCTTTTCCTTGGTAACCCGACCTCCGTAAAATAAAATAAAAGAATGGGGGGAGGGGGACTGGACACCATTTCCTATTGGGGCCATGTGCAAAGCGGACGACCATGGGAACTATTGGGCAATTTAATAGTCGGTGTTCTTCGTGCTGGCACAAGTGCTGCGTTCATGGGACGATAAATATAAAGACAACTCGTGGACAAAAAATTCTTAAAACTCTCCAGGGGCAGTAATAACCACCTTACCCACCCCAGATGCTACGCCACTGTACTCCAACAACTACTTTAATTCTATTTTGGGCAACAAGTAGACTTGTTCCCGGTCCTTACATTATCGACACTTACAGATTATCGATTGTATACAGTTGCTTCAAAGGAATTCTGGTTTAATAACGGAGGGGTGGGGACGCTGGATTTAAGTGCATCATTTATTTTTGTTACGCCGGTGCCGCTGCAAGATACACAAGTAATGTTGCATCTTTTCTTTTAATAGCCGAGATGGGAAGAGCTAAATCCAGTCCGAGTGATTCTGCTAGTCAGTGCAGGAGCGAATTGAAAGACCGGTATACTGCCACAGGTAGTTACGTTCAGTTAATACCCTGGGTCGATGACGACATGAAACATATTAGGGACATATATACAGAGTTACAATTCGGACAGGGTGACCAGGATGACATAGAGGGGTTTGTTAAAGAGTATGGGGACATTTTTCTCGTTAAAACTAAAGACGGGAATGTGATTAAACGCGCCATTTTGTGTGGGTCAGCTGGGATGGGGAAGTCAACCATTATTGACAAAATGGCATACGACTGGGCTACAGGTGTTGCACTTGGAGAGTTTCCACTTGTGTTTGTATTAAAAATGTCCGCTCTCGAACAAAAGTCGAATCTTGTTGATTCAGTGTTTGACCAACTTTTATCAGATGACACAAAGGTTAACAAGCGTGATTTGGAAGCATTTATCAAAGACAATGGTAGTAGTGTGCTCATTCTGATAGATGGTTTTGATGAATTCGGGACAACTAGCCTGGAACCAGAGAAATTTGGGTCCATTCTAAGAATGCTCAATCGAAAATTTGGCAAAGAATGTTTTGTACTTGTAACAACACGCACCTCACACTTTGCTAAATTGGCAAGCAAATCACTCATTTCCAAACCATTCACCCATGTGAAAGTTTTGGGATTGAGGAAGGAAGATATTGGGCAGTATGTGAGAAGGTTTTTCTCTAAAAAGCTTGATATTGCTGAGGGACTTCTTGACAGGATTCAGTCATCAGATGTGCTGTCTGATTTGTCAAAAAGTCCCATGTTTCTTCTGCTGATGTGCTTATTATGGAGGGAAAAGTCAAAGCTACCCGAAACTTTATCGAGATTGTTCAGTCAGGCAATTGGATACATGTTTCGAAGAAAAATGCCTGAAATATCAGAAGAAGCAATATCGAAAGTACTAATTGCAATCGGCAAAACTGCATTCAAAGGGCTTGTTTCCCCAGAGCAAAGACTATCATTTCAAGAGGAAGAGTTTGAGAAGAGTGCACTTGATAAAGCAAAACAAGCGGGTATTCTCACTAGCCAGCGGGTCATGAATTGGCTTGAAACGCACAATAACGTGCAGTTCATTCATAAGACACTTCAAGAGTATTGCGCAGCTATGTACTTTCAGTGTCTTTTAAGCAAAGGAGACGGGACATTTCAGAAGATTCTTGATAAACTTGGAGATCCTATGAATTTTGAGTACTTGATGCGCTTCTGCTGTGGCGACAATGAGCATTGCACACGGCATGTACTGCGAATGCTGCATGATAAGGATATCGATAGCGGGAATCTGTATAAGGATATGAAGGAATTGGGCTTAAATTGCTACTTTGAAAGTCAAGCAAGAGATTTGTTATCAGTTGATTTCATTGAGTCTTTTTTGACTGGAGGCATAGAGTTAAGTGGCAACGACAGCGTAAACTCGTTTGTGTGGTTGCTGCAGCATGTTGCCGAGCAGACAGAGTTATCGGAAGTAGATTACTTCGATAAAGTAAGTGAAATTCACTTAGAGGCGTGTAACCTCTCAAGGTTGAGTGAAGTCGTAGCTTCGCATTTGATCCCAATGAGAAACGTGCGCGTTTTGCATTTCGAAGAATGCGCACTAACTGGTAGCAGTGCTAACAAACTTTTGTCATCATTTCGTAATGGAGGTAACTTGATTGAAATAAACCTTGGAGGAAATAATTTGGGCGGCTCAGCCAAAGACTGGGCGGTCCACTTGCGAGGGATGAAAAACCTCGCGACACTTCGTTTGAATGAATGTTGCTTAGACTCGCGTGATGCAGTAGACATTGCATCATCGGTTGGGAATATGCCAAACTTGGCCGATCTTGGTCTTTCAGGCAATAAGGGATTGGGTGGTAACGTAGGAACGTGGGCAGCTAGTTTGCAGTCGATGATTCACTTAAAGAAGCTTGACATGAAACACTGTAGCATTAACAGTCGCGATTTGAAATATATCGCTGAATCAGTAAGTCGCATGCGGAATCTGGTGGATTGTGATTTCGGTAGTTTCTTTGAGGAGTGGCGGGTACAGTCAATGGGAAATGGCATAACGTTGATCATCAAGGGGTTAACACTCACTGTCAAGGATTTCGCGGATGTACTGCAGTCATTCAATAAGCGGAGCGATTTAGTCGGATTGACTATTCATGGCATTTGTGGTCTGGGTGGTTCTGCAGGTATCTGGACCCCACTCTTGCAAAACCTGACGGAACTTCAGGAGTTAGAGTTAAGTGATTGCGCACTGCAATGCGCTGACATTGAACACCTTGCTGCATCATTACGTCAAATGCCAAACCTGACCGATCTCAACATTTCGGAGAATTCGAACTTGGGTGGTCACGCAGGAACGTGGGCGGCTTGTTTGCAGACGATGATTCACCTGAAATCACTCGATTTACGGGAATGCGACATCAATGAACAAGATCTATCACATATTGCATCATCAGTAGGGGACATGCCCAACTTGGCCCATCTTAGCCTTGCAGGCAATGAGGGATTGGGTGGTCACGCAGGAACGTGGGCGGCTTGTTTGCGGAAGATGATTCACCTGAAATCACTCGATTTATGGAAATGCGACATAAATGAACAAGATCTATCACATATTGCATCATCAGTTGGGGACATGCCCAACTTGGCCCATCTTGGATTTCCATGGAATGAGGGATTGGGTGGTAACGCTGAAACGTGGGCGACTAGTTTGCAGTCGATGATTCACTTAAAGAAGCTTGACATGAAACACTGTAGCATTTACAGTCGCGATTTGAAATATATCGCTGAATCAGCAAGTCGCATGCGGAATCTGGTGGATTGTGATTTCAGTAGTTACTTTAAAGTGTGGCGTGTACAGTCATGGAGTAATGGCATAGAGTTGAGCCTTCAGGGGTTCTCACTCACTGCCAATGATTTGGCGGATGTACTGCAGCCATTCAATAATCGCAGCGATTTAGTCGGATTGACTATTCATGGCATTTGTGGTCTGGATGGTTCTGCATGTATCTGGACCCACTCTTGCAAAACCTGACGGAACTTAAGGAGTTAGAGTTAAGTGATTGCTCACTGCAAAGCTCTGACATTGAACACCTTGCTGCATCATTACGTCAAATGCCAAACCTGATCGATCTCAACATTTCAAAGAATTCGAACTTGGGTGGTCACGCAGGAACGTGGGCGACTAGTTTGCAGTCGATGATTCACTTAAAGAAGCTTGACATGAATTACTGTAGCATTTACAGTCGCGATTTGAAATATATTGCTGAATCAGTAAGTCGCATGCGGAATCTGGTGGATTGTGATTTCAGTAGTTACCCTGAAGTTTGGTGTGTACTGTTATGGGGTAATGGCATAGAGTTGAGTATCAAGGGGTTCTCACTCATTGTCAAGGATTTGGCCGATGTACTGCAGCCATTCAATAATCGGAGCGATTTAGTCAGATTGACTATTCATGGCATTTGTGGTCTGGGTGGTTCTGCATGTATCTGGACCCCACTCTTGCAAAACCTGACGGAACTTCAGGAGTTAGAGTTAAGTGATTGCTCACTGCAAAACACTGACATTGAACACCTTGCTGCATCATTACGTCAAATGCCAAACTTGGCCGATCTCAACATTTCAGAGAATTCGAACTTGGGTGGTCACGCAGGAACGTGGGCGACTAGTTTGCAGTCGATGATTCACTTAAAGAAGCTTGACATGAAACAGTGTAGCATTTACAGTCGCGATTTGAAATATATCGCTGAATCAGTAAGTCGCATGCGGAATCTGGTGGATTGTGATTTCGGTAGTTACCCTGAAGTGTGGGGTGTACTTTCATGGAGTAATGGCATAGCGTTGAGTATCAAGGGGTTCTCACTCATTGTCAAGGATTTGGCGGATGTACTGCAGCCATTCAATAATCGGAGCGATTTAGTCAGTTTGACTATTCGTGACATTTGTGGTCTGGGTGGTTCTGCATGTATCTGGACCCCACTCTTGCAAAACCTGACGGAACTTAAGGAGTTAGAGTTAAGTGATTGCTCACTGCAAAGCACTGACATTGAACACCTTGCTGCATCATTACGTCAAACGCCAAACCTGACCGATCTCAACATTTCAAAGAATTCGAACTTGGGTGGTCACGCAGGAACGTGGGCGGCTTGTTTGCAGAACATGATTCACCTGAAATCACTCTATTTAGGGAAATGCGGTATAAATGAACAAGATGTACCACATATTGCATCATCAGTTGGGGACATGCCCAACTTAGCCCACCTAAGCCTTTCAGGTAATAAGGGATTGGGTGGTCACGCAGGAACGTGGGCGGCTTGTTTGCAGAAGATGATTCACCTGCAATCACTCGATTTATGGAAATGCTACCTAAATGTACACGATCTATCACATATTGCATCATCAGTTGGGGACATGCCGAACTTAGCCGATCTTAACCTCTCACGCAATATGGAATTTGGTGGTAACGCTGAAACGTGGGCGAATAGTTTGCAGTCGATGATTCACTTAAAGAAGCTTGACATGAAACACTGTAGCATTTTCAGTCGCGATTTGAAATATATCGCTGAATCAGCATGTCGCATGCGGAATCTGATGGATTGTGATTTCAGTAGTTACCCTGGGGAGTGGCGTGTACAGTTACTGGGTAATGGCATAGAGTTGAGCATCAAGAGGTTCTCACTTACTGGCAAGGATTTGGCGGATGTACTGCAGCCATTCAATAATCGGAGCGACTTAGTCGGATTGACTATTCATGGCATTTGTGGTCTGGGTGGTTCTGCAGGTATCTGGACCCCACTCTTGCAAAACCTGACGGAACTTCAGGAGTTAGAGTTAAGTGATTGCGCACTGCAATACGCTGACATTGAACACCTTGCTGCATCATTACGTCAAATGCCAAACCTGACCGATCTCAACATTTCGGAGAATTCGAACTTGGGTGGTCACGCAGGAACGTGGGCGGCTTGTTTGCAGACGATGATTCACCTGAAATCACTCGATTTATCGGAATGTGGCGTCAATGGACAAGATATACCACATATTGCATCATCGGTTGGAAAGATGCCCAACTTAGCCGATTTTAACCTCTCACGCAATATGGAATTGGGTGGTAACGCTGAAACGTGGGCGACTAGTTTGCAGTCGATGATTCACTTAAAGAAGCTTGATATGAAACACTGTAACATTTACAGTCGCGATTTGAAACATATCGCTGAATCAGCAAGTCGCATGTGGAATCTGGTGGATTGTGATTTCAGTAGTTACTCTGAAGTGTGGCGTGTACAGTCATGGAGTAATGGCATAGCGTTGAGAATCAAGAGGTTCTCACTCACTGTCAAGGATTTGGCGATTGTACTGCAGCCATTCAATAATCGGAGCGATTTAGTCGGATTGACTATTCATGGCATTTGTGGTCTGGGTGGTTCTGCATGTATCTGGACCCCACTCTTGCAAAACCTGACGGAACTTCAAGAGTTAGAGTTAAGTGATTGCTCACTGCAAAGCACTGACATCGAACACCTTGTTGCATCATTACGTCAAATGCCAAACCTGACCGATCTCAACATTTCAAAGAATTCGAACTTGGGTGGTCACGCAGGAACGTGGGCGGCTTGTTTGCAGAAGATGATTCACCTGAAATCACTCAAATTATGGTATTGCAAGATAAATGAACAAGATGTATCACACATTGCATCATCAGTTAAGGACATGCCCAACTTGGCCCATCTTGGCCTTTCATTCAATAAGGGTTTGGGTGGTCACGCAGGAACGTGGGCGGCTTGTTTGAAGAAGATGATTCACCTGAAATCACTCGCTTTATGGAAATGCGTCATAAACGGACAAGATCTATCACATATTGCATCATCAGTTGGGGACATGCCCAACTTGGCCCATCTTGGCCTTTCAGGCAATGAGGGATTGGGTGGTCACGCAGGAACGTGGGCGGCTTCTTTGCTGAAAATGATTCACCTGAAATCACTCGATTTATGGAAATGCGACATAAATGGACAAGATCTATCACACATTGCATCAACAGTTGGGGAGATGCCGAACTTGGCCGATCTTAACCTTTCACACAATGAGGAATTGGGTGGTAACGCCAAGACGTGGGCGGCTGGTTTGCGGAAGATGATTTACCTGAAATCACTCAATTTATCGAAATGTGCCATATATGAACAAGAACTTTCACATATAGCTTCATCTGTTGGGGAGATGCCGAACTTGACCGATCTCAACCTTTCAAGAAATTGGGACTTGAGTCGTATCGTAAGAACGTGGCCAGCTAGTTTTCAGAGGATGATTGACATCAGCGTTTCTCATCGTTTGATGAGAAATTATGGCATTTACAGTCCCGATGGGTCCGATGAGGAGTGTGGTGTTGAGCCATGCGTTAATGGCATACAACTGAGCATTCAGAGTCTCTCAGTATTAACGGGCAAGGGTATGTCGGATATTTTACAGTCATTCAGTAATCGGAGAGATTTGGTCAGGTTGATCCTTTGTGACGTTGTTGGGTTAGGTGGTTCCGCAGAAATATGGACCCCACCCTTACAAAACATGACAGAACTTCGGGAGCTGAATTTAATTAAATGCTCATTGCGGAGCACTGACATTGAACACATTGCTGCAGCAGTAAGTAGAATGCCAACCGTAGAATCCCTCAGCCTTGTGGGAAATGATTCTTTGAGAGGCTTTGCACAAACATGGGCTCGCTGCCTGAATCAGATGAAACATGTAAGTAGCCTGAAATTGGGCGGATGTGCACTGACAAAAGAAGATAAGAAGCATATATCTGAGGCATGGGGAAGTGGAGTTGATTTTGAGTCTTCTGAAGATGACTAGATGTCCAATGTATATCTGCGCTGAGATCTGTTATGTGCATGCCCAAATAACCTATAAGATGAATGCGCACGAGTATATGATGCAATTTAAACGTCATTTGCTTCGAGTCAGTCTCGAACTCACGTCTGTAATTCAAGTAAACCCCAAGTCCCACGTAATCTAGTTGGAGTCATAGTCACAGATAGGAGTCACTTGAATCGATGCCTGGGTCAATTCACGAATCACCTGGATCGAGTCAGGCTGCAAGTCACGAGTAGGGTCCCGAGTCACACGTAATCCAGTTGGAGTCATAGTCACGGAAACGATGAGTCACTTGAATCGATCAAACAATCCCAGGAAACGAAGCACTCTATTGGATCCAGTCATTTTGGAAACAAGCTGAGAAATGACGCAATATTCTTTCGAAA